TAAATTTTTATGTTTAATGATAATCTAATGATAAAGTATAATCTAATGCTAATGATAAAGTACCAATTTGATTGGATAGAAATATATCAAGGATTGTAATTCAGGACCCGGTCCTGGGATCGATCAACTATCAGTTTTTGTATCAAGTCCAGGACTGTTGTTTCAGGTCCCAGGACCGGACCGGCAATTTAACATCACTAATTGCAACATTGTCATTTGTCACTTTGCATTTAAAAGGTAAATGACAAAAGACAAAAATAGTTTATATTTAAAAATGTTAATTGTTAAGTTTTGTGTTACTTTGTGTATTATAGGATTGGTTAATAAATCCTAAAACACCTGAAGTCTTAGCAATCTCAAAATCCTGTGATTGGTTAAAATTTGTTATTTTAAATGACAAAAATAATAAGGGCAGTGACATTTATTATGTAATATCCATTTACTATAGGGCTACCCCCTCCCCTACACATACGACCAATTGTGATTGGCCAATTAATCATATAATGTTTATGTGTAATGTAAGATATTGCTATAGTACACATGCAACCCCCACTCCCAAAAAAATTACGTAATAAATGTCAACGTCCTAAACGACCTTTGCCATTTGTTACCAATTTGTCATTTGTCAACACTGGTATGAAAATCGATTCTGCAATCGATTCCATAGTTAGGTGCCAATTGTGTAGAGACTCAGAATTTTGAAAACAGCGATAATTTTATCATAAGTATTCATACAAACTAAACACACTAAACATGTCAGTCAAGTATTCAAACGAAAATTTTAATATAAAAATATATAGTTTTTATATACTGACCATGCCGAAATCAATAACTTAACCGAATCGACCAAAAAATCATTCAGCAAATTTTATCTGGTGTCCTAGGAATAAGGTTGTATTACATATATTACAATTTTAAATCACACGTAATTTTACGTAAGTTTCAGAAGATTAAATTTCATGTAATTTTCACACGCTATAAATGAAGCTTCAAATTTACAAAATTTCAGCAGCATTATTGTATTTTTTGATTTGAATGTACGACCTGAATTGTAACTCCTAAAACGTCGAAAATTTGATCTCAGAAACTTTACAAAATTACAAATACAATTTACTGAATTTTACACAAAATTACGTAAATTACTGAAATTTAAATAAGCAAATCTGCCCGACGACAGATAATTGCTAATTCACCCGAATTTTTAAATTAGAGAAGCTTTTTAGTCCAATCATAGTTTTATGTTTGCTTTTAATTTTGGAAATTTTTGGTTACATTTTTGGTACACGAAGCTATATTTGGTATAAACTTATAAGATCATCTTTAAGATATACGTTGAGAAAGGCGATATAATCCTAGGGTTCCGGATGACACCAATACACACTACTACACAATACTAAAACTAACTAAACCACTCTAACCAGAACACCACAATTAATACAACCAAACCCTAATATTGGTAAGGCAACGATCGAGGCGTGGAAAGACTTGGTCCGAGTAACCAGGGTGGATTGGTTCTTAGCGATAGTGTCGGATTAGAGCTCTTGATTACGTCACGAATTTCTTTACACAGAGTCACGGGATTTGGTCACGAATTCCTTCCGTCAATGCAGAATTTATTTATCGGGGGGGGGGGGTTTAGTAGAACAAACGCTTCTACCTAAAGAACTTACTACTCTCAAGTTAAATACTCTAATTTCTTTAACTTCGAGCTTCGAACTCCCTTGAGTTTTATATATACGAGTGAATCACAAGCCAAATACTCTGATTTCTTTGACTTAGAACTTTGAACTCCACCGAGTTGTCTTTTATTGAAGCGCAAAGTCAGGTCTTTTATACCTTTTACATTATTAGAGTGTATACTTAGAATAAATCCTACATATTCACTAAATACGACATATTCAACATATACCACATATTCGACATATACGATATATACGATATATACGACATATACAACATATGCGACATATACCACATATGCGCTATGTACAAAATGTTCAAGATGCGCGCCAAGTTTGCTAAGCCAGATATGTATCCGATCCACCAAATATAGAAAAACCTATTGCAATGATCTACCCCTTCACAACGTATATTTTCGTACTAACGGAATTGAATACATTTTTAGTTAAGTCTGATAATTCTATACGCATCACTTAGAGTGACAATTTAACATATTAGTATTAGCATATATTATTTGTGAATTATCACGTTATGTCGACTAGATGATTTGCTGATAAAATGAAATACTTCAAAGGAGTTTATATATTCCATAACATTTATGATCTTATACAGTCAGACCTCTCTAAATGCAATGTGACGGGACCATATACAAAAATTTAGTAAAACGTGCACTTAGAGAGGTATTGCATTTAGGAAGGTAAAATTTTATAGATGTAATATTAGTTGGTCCCAAGAGAAGACGTGCATTTAGGGAGGTGTTTCACAAAACATGTAGCATTTAGGGGGATTGACTGTATTATGATCATCAAATATATACACCCGTGTAAAAAATATTTAAATGGTATTAGCTACCTTTTTTTCTTTCTTTATAGTATTTATATTAATATTTCTGTCGCCAAAATGATAAAAAATATTCAAAGGACACTGAAATTCTATATCTTCATCATATTTGTAATTTTACTATGTATAAATTTATTCAAAATATTTAATATATCCAATTGGTCCATTAACACGTTAAAAGAGATTAGACCTTCGAATCGCACACTTGGCTTCGAACGTATTTATATTGTGAATCTTAATTACCGAGAAGATAGACGGGAAAAAATGAACAAACAAGTTTCCTATCTTAATTTGGATGTTGAATATTTTGATGCCATTTCCAAATTTAATAAAATACTTAACAGATTTACTAATGAAAATGGAAAACTAACCGTTGGTCAAAGAGCTTGTTACATTACTCATTATTTAATCTATAATCAAATAATTGATGAAGGCTTAAATAACGTTTTAATTCTAGAAGATGATGTGGACTTCGAAACTAACATCACCGATATTATGACTGATATTCATCGTAATTTACCAAAATCTTGGGATACATTACACCTAGGTCATTGTTATGAAGTGAAAGGTAAACTTGTAGGCAATAGTTCATTTCCAAACAAATTGTATGAAGCAATGTTCCCACAATGTACACATGCTTATGCAATTTCGAACTCTGGAGCCCACAAGATGCTACAAGCGATAGATCCTATGAATCCACGAGGACCGATTGATTATGAGATTTCACTGCAAACTAAATATAAGAGGATCACATCATACAGCGTTCACCCACAACCTATTATACAAAGTAAAATTGACAATCCATCTGATGTCGCTGTAACATCGAATTATCCATTTGAGTTAACAAATTCTACCATGGTTTTACTTGGGCTTCTTGGAACATATGATAAACAATGGATGCGTAAAATTTAAATTTATTATACATACTTACAAGATATTTGGTATTATTTTATTATTTTGTGTTAATAATTTAGTTTGTATGCCAATTATTTTAAATTAATTCTATATAGTTTCGGATAGTCATTACCAATAATGTACTGGAAATGTGGTATGTGCGCTGAGTTTGGTTTCGAAATTATACGATGTTTGAGTCTAAAATTAAGAATTTTTAAGTGGTATAAAACATGTAGGTAAAAAAATTTGTAGCCTAAAATTAATATTGCACCATAATTCACGTGAACAAAGATTTACGCCGCCACCAATATCGGTGTTTAATAGCGGCCGAATAAACAAACACGAAGCTAAAACATTCTCAATCAAAGATACGCTATCAGTGTGTTGAAATTCTAAGTGAAATTTTAAACGAAAGCATTAAGAAGAAATGGTAAAAGTCTCTTTTAATCATAAATCTAAGAAAAGGCGTAACATCGAGAACAGTTGGTTACGCTCTTATATGTGGGAAATAAACATATAAGGATCACTAGAATAAACTTATTACAAGACCAAATTACCATAGCCACACTTCTGGCGAGTTTCCTTCCCCAATTAATATGGAGGGAATTTAAGTAACTATCGGTATTACTGCAGCATATAGAATAATAATATCACGGAATGTTTTTAATTAGTTTAACCCATCAAATTTATATAATTGAAAATAAGTTATCCCTTACCCATAAGATTCGTAGGCGATATACAGATACCCAATTACGTATCTTAATCCAATATCACATTTTTAATTCTAAAATTGCTTACATAGCGTTACGGTCAAGGGAGAGAGACTTTAGTACTTCGATGTCAATCTAGCTATTGGGCCGTAATCATTAAGGTATTCAATACTAGCAAAAAAAAATATAATTTTTATAATGGGAGAGCAATTTATTATATTGATTATATGATCGGGGATGCATTTAGGGGGCGACTGTAATTCTATTAACCCTCAAATTAGTAGCATAGCGAACATTCATTGTGATTGGCTAGATTTTGTTGATCATCTTGTGATTTTATTTGCTGATCGACCAAT